TTAAGGAGACAGGCGTAAAGTGTCTGAGAAAGGGGGTCCTAGGCACAGGGAACAGCAAATGCTAGCACCGGAGGCAGGAGTATGCTCCATGTAAAAGGGCAGGACTTGAAAGGCTTGGCGTGACTAAAAGTCACTCAGTTCTGAGCAAAGAAATTCCAACAAATAGATCACATTAAACTGACATACTACTAAGCACTCTTGTCAAAACTATGGGTCTGCGAACTATTTCTATAACGCAAATATTTGGGCTTTGTGTGTCACAGTTTCTGCCACAACTATTACAGCAAAGGAGCGAGGGACAATTCATAACAAAAGGACATGGTCGTTTTACAACACAAATACCAAAACAAAAGCAGGGTTGTATTTTGCCAACCCTGCCGCAGACTGAACTTCCGGTTTAAAGGAAAGAGAGGCACAGGGCACCAGAGCCACAACACCAAAAGGCATTAGGATGAAGTCCAGAATATGAGACAGCCTACAAATCAACTAGTCTGGCTTGTCAAGAATATCAAATGTCTCAGCAGAGAAAGTAGTGGGCAGAAAGACAAAGGGCAAAACTAGATTAAAACAGGCTGGGGCCAGCTATGGTGGTGCATGCTTGTAACCTCAGCACTTGGGAGGCTGAGGCAGGGAACTTGCTGTGACTTTGAGGCTACCTTGGGCTATGTAGTGAGCTCAAGGCCTGGCTGAACTATATAGCAAGACCCTGACTCAAAAAAAAAAAAAAAAAAAAAAATGCTTGCAGCCAGGTGTGGTGGCACAGGCTTACAATCCCAGCACTCGGGAGGCTGAGGCAGGAGGATCTTTGCAAGTTCGAGACCAGCCTGGGTTACAAGGTGAGCTCAAGGTCAGCCTGAATTGCATAGTGAGACCCTGTCTCAAAAAGAAAAAAAAAAAAAAAAAATTCTGGCAAGGCTGTGGAGATAAAGGAACTCTTCTCCACTGCTGGTGGGAATGCAGACTGGTGAAACCACTATGGAAATCAGTGTGGAGACTCCTCAGTAAACTAGGACTAGAGTCCCATTCAATCCAGCTATTCTCCTGCTGGGTATTTTCCCAGAAGAACTGAAAACATCGTATCACAGCAATATATGTGCACCCATGTTTATAGCAGTGCAATTTGTACTAGCTAAATCATGGAAGAAACCCAAACGCCTATCCACTGAGGAATGGATAAAAAAGTTGTGGTATTTTTACATAATGGAATATTACTCAGCTATAAAGAAAGATGATCTCGAGGCTTTTAAAGGAAAATGGACACAACTAGAGACCATACTCATAAGTGAAATAAATCAGACCTGCATGTGTAAACACCGTATTATCTCACTAATGTGAGAACCTGAAAGAGTGAGTAAAATCTAGGAGGTACAACAGACACTGTGAAAGGGAAGGAAACTGCTCAAAAGGAAAGAACAACTGGGATGAGGGAAAAGAGAAAAGAAAGAAGGGGAAAAATATATATATATGTATAGACAAGATAGCTAACGTAGTTGTACTTCTGACTTTGATTGCTCTATTGAAAGGAACAGTTAATGTCTAAGTGTATGATCAATCTTACATGTCTATATTTGTTTATCTGAATATCGAAATTTAGGATATCAATATGTAATACAACAACCATTGTTAATTTCTTATCACCTTGTCTGAGATTCTGTATTGCTTGTATTGTTTTTGGGTTATTTTCTAAATGTATGTGTGTTTATTAAGATGTTTTCATTCTTTTATCTTTTAAAAAAAAAAAAGCAGGCCAAAGAGTTCACATGTACCTTGAATGAATCCTGGTTTTAAAATCAACCCATTTTAAGGCCAGGTATGATGGCACATGCCTGTAATCCCAACATTTGGGAGGCAGAGATATAAGGATCACAAATTCAAGGCCAGGGCCAGCCTAGGCAACTTAGCAAGACCCCGTCTCAAAATTTAAAAAGGGCTGGGAATGCAGCTGAATGAAAGGCTCTGGGCTCAATCTCCACTATAGAAAAAAACAAAACAAAACCATTTTTTGGTCTTTTTTTGAGACAGGGTCTCGCTATGCAGTTCAGGCTGGCCTTGAGCTCACTTTGTAGCCCAGGCTGGTCTCAAACTCGTAACAGTCCTCCTGCCTCAATCTCCCAAGTGCTGGTATTACAGGCTTGCGCCACCACGCCCAGCCACATCAAAACCATTTTGAAGACAACTTGGGAAACTCAAGTACGGCATGGATATAGAAAGGAAATACTTATCTGGGTAAGTATCCCTTACTCAAAATGCTTGAGACCAGGCATGTTTCTGATACCTGAGTTTTTGGTTTTCAGGGTATGTGCACACCTTTGTGCACATACATATGTGCATTACTATGTGGCTGACCATCTCTAGCCCAAAAATCTGAAATGCTGCCAAGTGACACTCAAAGTTGCATATTTTGGAGCATCTCAGACCACAGGTTTCAGATTTTCAGAATAGGGATGCTCAACCTGTATCTCAGGGGTGACACAGGAGAAAATCCTTCTTGGTAGCAGATGCCTACTAAAGTAGTATGGAGCAAAGTATGAACAGGCGTCAGGATTCAGTACAGAAGAATAAAAAGGAAAACAACAAAATCCCCAGCATAAAACAGCCAGATGAGGCAGACATGGCAAAGGCACAGCCAGGCAGCACGGCAGTGTCCAGGCCATGTCCACCCCTGGCAGGCCTCCTCTCGGCCTTGCCACCCTGTCTCTCCTGGGCCACACAGTCGGGAGCTCGGGCCCCATGGAGTGGGGCAGCAAGGACAGCACCAGCCAGCCATGAGCGGAGTAGAGGGGCCTCCCCTTGCTGCATTCCTGGCTACCCAGGGCTGGGGTCAGAAATCAGAGGTTTGCTGTCTCTGGGGCCGACCCAGTGGCTTCCTCTCCAGTGGCCCCAAAAGGTGCTAAGAACAGGAAAAGGGTGGGGGGACATTTCAGCCCCCACATCCTCAGTAACAGGAGTCTCCCCACGTTAAATGGTACCAATCGTGCAAAAATGGAAACTAGACCATCGCTCTTGCCTACTAAACCGCTCTGGCGGCTCCCCACTGCTCCTTTTCCAGGCTGCAAACCGTGTGCCAGGTTTGCTAAATCAAGGGCTTCCTGTTTATCATCTCCCTGAATCTCTTACCAACGCTGGGATAAACCCCAGTTTATTAAGTGCCTGCCAAGCCCTGCAGGGATCTCCATCTGGGGGCCAAAAATCCTGGCTGGGCTCTCCAGCCTCCAGCGCCTCCACTTCCCTCTTCCAGGGCTTCTGCCCCTTGATTCTCTGGTGAGGCGGAGCCTGCTGTGGTCCCTGGAACACACGAACTGTTTCACTTCCAGGCCTCCCCATAGCTGCTTAGTCCTTTTCCGTGGGCCACGGCCAACTCCTAGCCATCCCTCAAAACTCACTCCAACGCCCAAATCCTAGGGACTTAGCAGTTTAGAGTTGCTTTCTCAGGTAGCCCATGTTTTGGCCCCCAGTATTCAACTGACTAACACCACAGCTGACCCAAGATGGCCATTCTGTTCCCCTTGGTGGGGCAAGTATATTTTTAACCTCAGGGAGATATGCAACGATAATTACAGTATAGGCTGTGGCAGTGTCTTGTGATACAGCATTGTGCAGGCTACACCGCACTGTCCGAGGGTAGCCACTAGCTACACGTACAGCTACTGAAACTGAACAAATGCAAATTCTGTCCCATCCCATCTCAGTCGTCACATTTCAAATGCTCAGGAGGCACATGCAACTAGCAGCCCCTGCAGTGGACAACGTGGACCTAGAACATTCCTGATAGGGCAGGAGCTCTCTCAGAGGGTCCTGTCTCAGGCTTCCGTGGGGGTTCAGCCAAAGCCCTACCCTACCAAAGAGCTTGGGGAGTGTCTCGCAAACCAAGGTCCAGAAGGGTAAAGTGGGAGGGAAAATGTTTGCCACTCATTACCAAGAGTCAAGTTCAGATATAAGTAAGAAAAAGACCAGCTACCCAATAAAAAGAGGTAAACAACCAGGCAGCTCAGGGGAAAAAGCACACATGGCCCTTGAGGGTCAAACTCATCCAGAGAAAGACAAACCCTCTGCAGTTTCCCTCTGCTCAGACTGGCAAAAATCCAATTGCTTGAAAACACTGGGCAGTGAGGACAGTCGGAGACATCCTGACAGACGCAGCCTTTAAATTTATAAGTGGATATGCCTGTGACCAGCAATCCTACAGCTAAGAACTCCCCGTCCACACAGACCCGCGCACACAGTAAGCAGGGAACCTCACTGCAGCGCTGCTTGTGACGAGCCAAAGGCTGGGAACCACGCTGGTCACCGTTAACAAACTGCTAAATAAACTGACGGACACAAGTGTCCAGCTGTGGAAAAAGGAAAACAAACACTGTGGTGACAGCGGCAGCTCTCTACACGCAGAGGCAGAAGGGTTCCCCAAGACGCACTGTAAAGGGAGAGAGCAAGTTCGGAACCGCGTGGGGTAGCGACCTCCAGGGTGCCGAGGACCCCATGTGCTCTTCCAGCACAGAAAACACGGCGGGTAACGGGGCAGGGGGATGGACGGATGGGGAAGACGTGGCCGTGAAGGTTTGAACTTTTTGTTTTGAGGAGCTGGGGGGTGGAATCATCGCCTCACCTGCTAGGCCACAGCCCTAGCCCTGGTTTGACTTTTGAATGAGAAGAATCTACCATTTCTTCTGATTATTACATGATCTGTTTTAATGGACTCTCTCAACCACTGCTTCAGAAGCAAGAGATACTCATTAGCAACACAGCGTACCCACCCTCTGCAGATCAGCGAGTAGAAGCTCTGCCTACGACTCTGTGGTGCCCTCAAGCCCGCAAACAGAACGAGGTCTTCAGACCAAGAACCCCAGCTCTTCTCAGCCCCAGCTGGGAGACCCCACACTAGAAGGGCCGCAGACTGGGAACTGCGGACTGTAGGGCACAGTGGGAATCTGTCCATCTGCATCCCGCCCCTCCCACCAGGCCTGGCCACTCGCAAGGGCAGCCACACAGAGGCCCAGACTCACCTCTCATCTGGAGAGTCTACATGGAAGGTCCGCTCGATGACTGTGGTCCACTGCAGGCAGCGTATGACAAAGGTGTTAGGCCGAGGTCGCTCTGTCTTCATCAGCTGGCATTCTGTGGTGGGGGGAAGACACAGCTGGGAGAGGGGTCGGGGCCAGTGTGCAGCCCACAGTTCCCAAGCAACTTCCCTTGTGCTGAGGGTGCTGGGGACCCCTGAGGGACTGAGGCCCTGACCTCGCGCTCGCAAGGCTCAAAATCCAACATGCGTGGAAGGTGACCAGACCACCAGACAATCACCACTCAGTCCTTGGGGCTGGGATGGCACAAGCCAGGGGAGACATCTAACCAGCCTGGGCACCCCTGAAGAAAGCGCACCCCTGCACTGACCCCTGAAGGCAAAGGGAATGGAGTCAGTGAGGTGAGAGGGGCCCAACATACCCAGGAGCCAACCCTGTGCCCAGCATGAGAATGAGACAAGCTTGGACGGATGAGCTGAGGCCAGCCAGCAGGGCTTTGGAGGCCGTGAGGATGAGTCTGGACTTTGTCCTTGGGGTAGCAGGGACATGAATAGCCCAAGAGAGACCCCTCTGGCTGCCATGGCAGGTGAGGGTGGAGGCCAGGGGCCAGGGCGGAGGCTGCGGTAGGACCCAGGGCCGAAGACACACGGACATAGAGTGGTGCATAGGCAGGGGGCGAGGGCAGCAGGGGAGGGGATGAGAGGGTACTTTGGCCCAGGCCTTGGGCACAACGGGACCATTCCTGAGGTGGAGATGGGATGGGAAACTGGAAGGTCACTCTGGGACAGGGTGAACATGCAGGACCTAGAGGACACGCAGGAGAAAATGTTCAAGAAGCTCCTGGAAACAGATAAGGTGGAAGAGAGATGCTGGGGCTACCACAGATGTGTCAAGGCCATCGGCACACGGAGAAAGCACCCAGGAGAAAACTTTCTGCAGACCACTATGGGGACTGGGGCTCGGATTCCAGACTCTGGGGCTGCTCCTGCAGGGCTGAAGCTGGGGAGGGAGCCGCAGCAGGGAGCTGGGGAGAAGGTGAGGCTGGGGTACGCTGTGGGTCTGAAGAAGGGGCTGCCTATGAAGCATTCTCAGCAGGTTCGATAGCCAAGGCCTGGTGCCAATCAGGTCAGCTGGGAAGGAAGGAGGCAGAGGACAGGAGACCAAGGGCAGGACTGTGTTCTGCACGGACCAGGCAAGGACTTTAGGTTTGGGAAGCTGGTCCAGCCAGAAAACAAACACCACTTAGAATACCACAAAGGGAACCAAGGACACGAGGTCAGCTGCGTAGGAAGCCACGACCCTTCCAGGTTGGAGGGGCAGAGGAAGGGACTGCTGCCCAAGCAGGACGGAAGCACAGGGCCAGGTGAAGCTGGAACGAGGGCCAGGGCTGGCACAGCACAAACGCCCTTGGCTTCTCGCCTCAAGCTCCATCTCCCCCCTGGGACAGCCGCACGGGGCCCAAGTGACAAGGAAGGACAGCACGGGAAGGGGGCAAACAGAGACAAGAACAAGGCCCAGAACAAGCCTCTGCGTCAGGAATGACTGAGGCACTCCAGCCTCCTCCAAGACCTCCCAGCTGTTTGCTCCCTGAGCTCTAGAGCCCGGGATGCTCGCCCTGACACACACCTGCTACAGAGAAGTTGTTTAAGGGGGGTAAAGTCTGGTCGGGAGCCTCGGGCCTCTCCTTATACCCAATGAAGGAGCCGTCACTCTTCAGCAGGAAGTAGCGGGGCCTCCAGGTCTTGATGTATTCCCCTGAAATGAGGCAGGAGGGAGACAGAGGTCAGGACAAGGTTGTCCCAGGCGGACAGGCAAGCAGCCCAGTGTGACAGGGACTCACTCCCAAGGGACACCACAGTGGGAGGACAGTGGAGGAGTGTCTCTCCCAGGGGTCTCCTGAGGTGGCCCTGCTGACACAGGCTTGGGCACTGGCCTGGCCCAAGTGATGCACAGGTCATGCCTGGCAGGAAGGTGCCTGCCACAGTGCCCCACAGTACCAGCTGCTTCAGCGTGTGGCCAGAAGCAAGCTATCCCTGCCAGCATGGGACTGCCCCCGAGAAGGCACATGCCCTGTGGCCCTGTGAGCCCAAATCTCATGGACTGACTGTCACCAACACAGTGGTACAGGTGGATCAAATGACAAAATACTGCTGTGCCAGGTGGGGTACAGCTGCTTCCACGCTCTCTGACCACTGCTCAACCCCTTCTGTTTGTTCTGACTATAAATATCCAGGGATGCTGCATGGGGCACACTCTCATTCTACAGGGACCTGCTCCTCAGAAGGCTGCTGAGGGTTAAAATGAGATGGTGAAATGCTTGTCCACACAAAAACTTGCACACGATGTCACAGCAGTGTCACTCACTCGTAACAGTCAGTGAAAACAACGCAATGCCCATCAGCTAATGACGGATGATCAGAACATGGTGGAACCACACAACACAACACTGTCTGGGCATGAAAAGGAAAGATGTCCAGGGATGGACCATATCTAAGTGCAAGAAGCCAATCTCAAAGGACCACCGAGCAGCTGGGGATTTAGCTCAGCAGCACAGCGCCTGCCTGGCAAGCGCAAGGTCGTGAGTTCGATTCCTGGTACTGGAAAAAAACCAAAAAAAAAAAAAAAGACCACCGAGTACAGCTGCTCACTGGCTTCAGTGATTCAACTTCCTGTGACAGTGTCACAGAGGTATGCAATCAGTAGGAAGTGTACTTCAAATTTGGAATTGTGGGCTGGGTGTGGTGGCACACACCTGTAATCCCAGCACTTGGGAAGCTGAGGCAGGAGAATCACTATGAGTTCAAGGGCAGCCCGGGCTACACAGTGAGTTCAGGGATAGCCTGAACTACATGGCAACACTGTCTCAAAAAAAGAAAAACAAAAAACAACCCCCCCCCCCAAAAAAAAACACCAATTTTGAGTTGTGGTCTTTGCCCAGGCTAGTGGTATGCAATAGAGTGCTCTCACAATGCTGGGCTCCCTGTCAGTCACGCTGTCACGTGGGCACTGTGACTGTGTGCTAAGCGATGGTGTTCAGTAGATTACATATATTTGTTCTTTGGGGGGTTTTTTAGTACCAGGAATAGAACTCAGAACCTTGCGCTTTCCACACAGGCACTTGTGCTGCTGAGCTACATCCCCAAGCGAGGTTACATACATTAAATGCATTTTCAACATAATGATATTTTTAACTTATGGTGTGTTTGCCAGGCTGTGACCCCATTGTAAATCATGCCAGTTCATCTTAATGCCACGTCACTAAACACAGAGACTCCTGGACAGGAGGTTAGACAGGGTGGCACTATATTCATCAGTGGAGTGAGCCACTGATGCTCCTGGCTGAATGTGCTGTAAGAAGGTGGGGCCCAGCTACAGGCAGAGTATGGGGGTTCCTTGAAAGGGTGGGTCTCTCTATGGCACTGCTCCCCAGTACTCTGCTTCCCAGCCAGCAGGACATGACCAGCTTTACCCTATCGTGACCTTCTGCGGCGATGTCCCCGCCCTGGAGCCAGCTGACCACAGCCCTCCACAAAGCCCCCGAAACCCGGAGCCAATTAAGCCCCTCTCGCTGTCAGCAACAGCGTCAGGTATTTTGTGCAAGGAACTGAGAGCTGACCAATACACAAACCACACGGTGTCTCTCTGCAGGAGTCCCCCTGGGAGGCACGGTCTGCGGGGAGCCGGAGTGCGACGGGCACCAGGGTGGTGGCAGGGTTCTCCTCAGGACGCAAGATGTCCTCAAATTGATAGCAGCGCCGGATGCACAGCTCCAATACACTAAAAGCCACTGCACTGTGAGCTCTGGATGGCTGAACTGTGAGGCACGTGAACCGCATCGCAGCGCGTGGCAACCTCGCAGCACTCAGCTCAGGAGCCCCCACGCCCCCGGCTCTCAGTAAATGCTCTGCGCCATCAGCCGACTACGCAAGCAGTGCGTGTGCCCAGCCCTTAACTCCCATGCACACCAGCGTGCAGGGGGCCAGGGTGGGCTCTGAGTTGTATTTGCTGTTGTATCACTTCACTTCTCACTGGGCACGGTGGTGGCACATGCCTGTAATCCCAACACTCAGGAGGCTGAGGCAGGAGGATCACTCTGAGTTCGAGGCCAGCCTGAGCTACATAGTGAGTTCAAGGCCAGCCTGAAGCACTTAGCAAGACTCTGTCTCAAAAACAAAAATAATCCACAAAATAATTACTACCGCTAATAAATTCAGCAAGATCAACACATAATAAATCAGCTGCATTTCTATACACCAGCAACAAACAAACCAAATGGACATTAAGAAAACAATTCCTCCCAAACTAAATAAAATTTTTAAAAATTCAATTTTCAATAGCTTCCAAAAGAATAAAATAGAAATAACTTAACCAAGGAGGTAAAAGACTTCCACACTATAACACATTAAGAAAAGGGGTTCAGTGGTGCCCACCTATAATCCCAGCAACTCAGGAGGCTGAGGCACGAGGATCACAAGTTCAAGGCCAGCCTGGGTAACTTAGTGAGATCCTATGGTTGTGTCCAGAGGACAAGCACCTCCCCTGCTGCAGGGCAAGGGACAAGCACCACTGCCCTCCTGTGGGGAACAATTCTCTGGGATTTGTAAACTTCATATTAATAAAACATTAAGAGATATAAGGTTTAAGGAGGGGAAGACATTTTATTGGGTACTTTATTGGAAAGAGGGAAAAAAGAGAGACAATATTCTAAACAAATCAGAGTAGAGCATTCCAGAAAGATGGAGGACCCAAGGGTCTTTGTCTTCAGCCCTTTCTATGAGTGTGGCAGAAAGACCCTGCCCTCGCCCTCCCCAAGTTTATTATATCCTGATTGGATACTTTAGGCTCTAGGGTCCCACCCCAGGTACCATCATGTATGTGCAAATTTTTATGTGGGCTTTGCTGTTTTTGTTGTTCTGTAGGAAGAATTTATGGGTTTGTTAAGAGGACTTTACATACAAGGTTGAGTTAGCAATTAAGGGAAACACTGTGAGAGAAGAAAATATATATATTAAATAAGAACTACTTTTTTTTTTAGGCTCTCACTATGTGGTCCAGGCAGGCCCTGAACTCACTATGCAGTCCAGACTGGCCTCAAACTCACATTTATCCTCCTGCCTCAGCCTCCCAAGAGCTAGGATTACAGGTGTGCACATCAGCCAAGAGCTGTCTTTTAAGCAGTCACCTTTTGCCTCCTTTCCAAGGCGGCAAGGGACACCTAGGCTGACTTCATTAGGGCACATGCCTGGCTTATCCATTTTTGTTTTGTTAACTGTTTTCTAAGTAAAGTTTTAACTCTTTTTTTTTGGATACTGGGAATCAAACTCAGGACCTTGCACTTGCCAGGCAGGTGCTTATGCCGCTGAGCTATATCCCCAGCCCAAACTTTAACTCTTTTTTGGTCTGGAATAGCCAGAAAGCCCAATGAGGCTTTCCCGTTTACAGACTCCGTTTCCCTATACTGTCACAAAATAATAACATCTGGGCAAATAGCTGAGTGGCAAGGTGCTTGCCTGGCATCATGCTGGGTTCAAACTCCAGCAATGGGGAAAAAAAATCAACGAAAGAAATTAAAGACCTAAACCAGTGTGGTGGTGCACACCTGTAACCCTAGCACTTGGGAGGCTGAGGCAGGAGGATCGTTGCAGGTTCAAGACCAGCCTGAGCTACAAAGTGAGCTCAAGGCCAGCATAAACTGCAGAGTAAGACCCTGTCTCAAAAAAGGCAATAATAATAATAATAATAATAATAATAATAATAATAATAGTAATAATAATAATAATGTAGTTAAAAGATTCATATTTCCCAATTACAAAATTTACTATGAAGCTATAGCAGTCTCAACAGTCTGGCATGCTAGGCATTCATAGTGCATGCCTATCATCCCAGCGCTCTGGGAGGCTAAGGCAGGAGGATCACAAGTTTGAGCCCAATCTGGGCAACTTAGTGACTTAATGAGACCCTGTCTCAAAATTTTAAAATTTTTAAAAAAGACTAGGGATACAGCTCAGTGTGAAGGCCCTGAGTGTGAAAAACTTCTCAATATCATCAGTCCTTAGGAAAACATATATTGAAACCACAATGAAGTGGTTCTCATACACACCAGGATGGCTATAATAACTTTTTTTAAATAACAAGTATTAGTAAGGATGCGGAGAAACGGAAACCCTTGTGCATTTCTGGTGGGAATGTAAAAAGGTGCAGCCAGTATGGAAGAGTTTGTTGGGCCGGGGATACAGCTCAGCGGCACAGCGCCTGCCTGGCAAGCGTAAGGGCCTGAGTTTGATTCCTGGTACCAAAAAAAAGTTAAAAAAAAAAAAAAAAAGAAAGAGTTCGCTGCATCCTCAAAAAGTTAAATATAGAATATGCTGTGAGTAATAAATATAGGATATATGCTCCACATGTTTTGTTTTTTTGTTTTTTGGGGGGTTTTTTTGTTGGGTTTTTTTTCTGGTACCGGGAATAGAACTCATGACCTCCCACTTGCCAGGCAGGCGCTGTGCCGCTGAGCTAAATCCCCGGCCCCATCCACATATTTACAGTCATGCATATTAGATTACAAATATGTAGTATATATGTATGTAGTTTGTTTTTTGAGACAGTCTCATCATGAAGCCCAAGCTGGCCTCAAACTCACAGCAATCTTCCTGCCTCAGCCTCCCAAATACTAGGATTACAGGCCTGCACCACACCCAGCTTATAAATATTTATTACAAATATAGAACACACAACTCAGCAATTCTACCCCTAGATGTGTACACGGAAGAACTGAAAACAAGTATTCAAACAATACCGTACATTGTGTTCAGAGCTGTATTACGCACAACAGCCACAGGGTAGACCGCAAAGCACATCAGAGATGAATGGATGAATAAAATGTGACGTAGCTACGCACTCAAGTATTTAGCCATAAAACAGAAGAAATTACTGATACATGCTGTAACACAGAGGAATCGCAAAACCATTACGTTAAGTGAAATAAGCCAGACACAAAAGGCCACGTGTGATTCCATTCATATGAAGTATCCAGAATAGGAAAATCCATAAATATAGAGAGCAAACTGGTGCCTGCCAGAGGCAGGAGCGAGAGTACATGGAGACTAACTGGTTAATAGGCACAAAGTCTTCTTTTGGGGGTGATGAAAACATTTTGGAACTGGACAGAAACCGTTACACAACATCATGAATATACTAAAGGCCACTGAGCTGTATGATTCCAAATGGTTAATTTCACTTAAATTTAAAAGAAAAAAATAGAAAAACTCCTGCTGGGCGTGGTAGGTAATACTAGCACTAGGGAGGCTGAAGCAGGAGGATCACCAGAAGTTCAAGGCCAGCCTAAATTACATAGTGAGACCCTGCATCAATAAACAAAAACAAAAAACCTCCCATACGCAGTTACAGGTTAGGTGAGCAGTTACTGCTTGGGAGGGACGTGGGGCTTCTGGCAACCATCTGGCCGTTCCTTTATGATGAGACTGGCATGGGGGCGGGTTAATGATGCAGGAATTTGTCCACGGTGTTTTACGCTTTGGTAACAAGAAAAGGAATCAAGAAAGAAAGGAAAAATGGTCTCACAGCCTTATCCCCATTTCCAGCTGAGGAGACTGAGGCCGAGAGGGTCCTTTCCTTGCCAAGGCTCTTCACAGCCACTACCTAGAAGAGCCAGCACACAGCCCAGAGTCCACACTCCTGACCCAGGCCGTGCGCCTCTGCATGGGCAGAAGAGGCCCACGTAGGGCCTGGCCGAAGGGAGGCACACTGCTGCCGCTGGCAGAGGTGTGCGAAGACCCTCACATGGCACAGGAGACTCTGCTCAGCCGCACTGAGCGCGTGCCAAGCCAGAGGCAATGTGTCGGTTCAGCAGTCCGTGGACTGAGGCCAACCTCGGCGCGGCCACCTCCTTGCTGAAACCTCGGGCAATCGTGCTTGCTGCTCATCTACAAGATGGCAGCCGCCTCCCGCGACACCTATGAAAATCCAACACCGGCCTGGGGCAGAGCCCAGGGCCTGGCAGAGTGGGCATTCAGCAAACCAGGGCAGCCACGTTCTAAGCAGCAGAGGTGGGGTGGGACGGCGCAGGCGCCAAGACAGCAGCAGGCAGAGGGCCCGCCTGGCCTGGCCCGGCCCACCTCTGCCAGCTGAGCTCAGGTCACGGGCACCAGGAAGGCCCAGGAGTACTCGCACTCGTGTGCTGTGGACACCAACGCAGGTGTCCAAGCCGGGCTGTCCCAGCAGACAGGGCCAAGCCCGGGGCCAGCTTATTGGGCCCTTGTAGCATAAATGAAGACAGGGAAGCCCGAAGAAGGGCTCAAACTCACTCACAGGTGACAGCCAAGTCCAGACCAAAGAGGAGCTCCACTGCCCGCCGGGAGCCACGGCCTTGGGAAACTCCAGCTGAGTAACAGGAGCCCAAGACCCTGGCGTAGCCCTCACACCTCACTCTGTCACTCAACAATCATTTATTGAGCACCTACGGTAGGTCAAGAACATGAGGGGTGTTGTAGGGGAGTGGGCGGTAATGGGAATAGAAGCCAGGGCCTTCCCTACGCTAGGCAAGTGCTCTACCACTGAGCCATATCCTCAAGCACCCCACCCTTTCTGAGACAGGTTCTTGCTAAGCTACCTGGGCTGGTCTCAAATTCATGATCCTCCTGCTTCAGCCTCCCAAGTAGCTGAGATTACAGGCCTGTGCCACTGTGCTCACCTGCCAAGCACTTTTTTTTTTTCATCTTTTTCTGAGACAGGGTCTCTCTCTGCAGTTCAGGCTGGCCTTGAGCTCACTTTGTAGCCCAGGCTGGTCTCGAACTCGCAATGATCCTCCTGCCTCTGCCTCCCGAGTGCTAGGATTACAGGAGTGCGCCACTACGCCCTGCTTTTGGTTTTTTTGTCTTTGTGTGTGTGTGTGTGTGTGTGTGTGTGTGTGTGTGTGTGTGCCAAGCACTTTTTGAGGTGCTAGGGACAGTGTAGTAAATGAACCAATGAAAATCCCTGACCTCATAGCACAACAACATCAGAGGCCTGGGCTGTTGACCCATTTTACAGATACAAAATCGAGACTCAGGCAGGTGACACACCTTTGCCCAGCATCACACTGATAGGAAGTAACAGTGCGAGGGTTCAGCTGGGGGACTGGCCTGAGGTGCCTTGAATCCCGCTTTCAGCTGGAGAGGGCAGTTGGAAATGGGTCTCCTCTGCTTGTTCTGACAGACCTGGCTCTGGGGAGGGGTGTACACAAACACAATTTAGGATGGCTCCTCTGCTTCCACCTACCCTCTACAGCTGGACCATCACTGGACACGTGTCCCTCGCTGGGGCCACCTGCCCCCGCCAGAATACAAGCAGATGAGATGTCAGCTCCCTAGCACCTAAGACAGTGCCTGGCCCACGCTGGCTGCTCCATAGTAAGCGTCTGCCGGATGAATCCAAGTGCACGGAGAGCTGCTGCCCCCAGGCCTGGCACCCCTCCTGCCAGAGGGGAGGGCCCCAGGGCTAGGCAGGGAGAACGCTGGCTCTCAGCACAGCCCTCCTCTTAGCTGACTCCCAGCCTCACACGGTCCAGCTGCCGTGTGGGGACAAGTGGCCTTGGGCCGTGAGGCCTGCTTTCTGCTCTCTGTGACTGCACAAGGCCTCAGCTTCCCATCAGTACGGGCAAACGGCCACACCCTGGCTCACAGCGTCCCAGAGCTTCCTGCGCCTGCAGTTAGAGTCAAGGTCCTCTCTGCGGCCTCCAGGGCCCACCCAGGACAGCAGTGCCGCGTCACTCCTGTCTCGCCCTTGCTCACTCCACTCCTGCCAGGCTGTTCCTAGAAAACACAGGCATTCTCCCACCCCGGAACCTTAGTCCTTGCCGTCCCTCCCCCAGCACGCCCTTGCCCAGCTCCCGAGACCGGGTCCTGCGTCTCTCCCGGGGCTCTGTTCCCTCGCCTCCTCCGTGTGGCCTCCCCTGACCAGCCCATCTCCCTCCAGCCCCCCACTCCTCGCTTTCAACGTGGCCCAACAGCACTTATCACCACCTGAGGTCATACGTCTGCTTACTGTTTGTCCCACCCCGCTGGAATGTGGACTCCATGAGGGTGCCACCATGTCCTAGAGCCTAAGGCAATGCAGGACATCACAGTGAACACCTGTCGAATGAAGGCAGCAAACTGCTTTGCCATGTTACTTCAGTAAAATGACTTCCCTTCTCTGAGCCTTGGTTCATTTCTTCATCTATCAAACGGGGCTATAAATGAGCTTACAAATCCAGAGGCAGCTCCCGAAGGCTGGCCTCTGGGCTCAGAATGTCCAGCTAGGCCTGGAGGCTCAGCCCAGGCAGATCCTCAGCTCCCTCCCAGACGACCCCGAAGGACTCTGTGAATTAGACATATGGGTAGGGGTTGGGCACGTTGGCTCCTCACCCAGTGTCTCTATGTTTCAGGGCACCAGATGCAAGAAGGAGACCTGGCTTGGCATGGTGATACTGAGTGCCTGTAATCCCAGCACTCAGGAGGCTGAGGCAGGAGAGTTGCCCTGAGTTCAAGGCCCATCTGGGTTACATAGTGAGTTTAAGGCAAGCCTGGAGTATATCCCAAGAACCTATCTCAAAAAAAAAAAAAAAAGAGAGGGAGTGCGAGAGGAGACACAATGTGGAGGGCAAAAGCAGCCCCTTACCACGCTTGTGCAGCCTATCTCAAAAAAAAAAAAAAAAAAAAAAGAGAGAGTGTGAGAGGAGATACAATGTGGAGGGCAAAAGCAGCCCCTTACCGCGCTTGTGCAGCCAGCCTTCCTTGATGACAGACACCTCATTCATGGTGGCAGCGTGACACTGTCACCTATCTCGGGACAGCTCAGGGCAGCTGGACATGCAGGAGGTGCTACAGACACAGTGCAGTCTGTAAGACAAGAGAGGAGCCTGTCAGAGTAGGAGGGACCCCACCCCGGCCCCTTCCCTCAGCTACCGCAGCTCTGCTCCACGAGCTCTGTACCAGGTAGAGCCAGGCCGGGTCGGGGAAGCGGGGCAGTCCCAGGACGGACACCGCTGGGCTCCCAGCGACCCCAGGCTGGGGGAAGCTGGGCTCCCCGGCCTATAGGCGACCAAGCCCTGCTCTCAGGCCCCTCCTTTCTCCCTCCCTCCCAATCAAGGTAGCTGCAGGCCCGCCCCTGCGTCATTCCCGTGCCCCAGCGCTGAGGTAACCCGGGATGAATCAGACAGCCCTAGGCGCCCAGGAGTGAGGGTGTGCTCAAAGCTACCAGCATCTGCCTGCCTGCCCCCAACACTCGCTCCCTCTCCCAGTCCCTCTCTCTTCCTGCCTTCCTGCCTTCCTCCCTCTCTCCTTTCTAAACAAAGGAGCCACCACCTGCTACCTTCAGCAAGCTAAGCACACACAGCCCACTCCCTCCCCACCCCCAGGTCCCCTCCATGCTGGGCCAGCACTCACTTCCCCAGCCTCAGTTCCCTCCCTGCCTCTGCCAGAGGACCCGACCCGAGGGAAGACAAGTGTCCACGGCTTCGGCCTCAGAATCCTGACAAGCGACCTACTGTGTGTGTACTTGTCGGGGCACGGAAGCCAGTCCCGGGGGCTTGGTCACAGTCCTGGTCCCCTCCCCAAGACCTCTGCTCTGTCGTCCGGAACGAGCAGCCGACAGACTGACGGACGCCGAGGAGGCTGCTGCTGCGTCTCAGGTTCCCGGAGAAGGGAGAAGGGCGCAAGGCAGCTGCCAGCTGGGCCCCTACCTGGAGCCTGGGCCCTAGACTGGAGCCATGGCGCCCCAGGCGCCTTTCGTCTTTCCCAGCCTGGGGTTATTTGCGGACAGCAGGTCAGGAGCCACGGTGGCCCCCAGAGAGATGGCAGCTGGCTCTAGGGACACCCTGGGCATCAGCTTTCTCTCGTGCCCCAGGGGAGCTGATGAGCTGGACACACTACTGCCTGGCATGTGACAGTGGCAGGCTGCCCAGGCCCTGGGCAGAGGAAGGGAGGTAAACGGGAGGAAGCGGGAGGGAAGGCAAGATGGACAGCGATGGGGAAGTAAACAGAAGGGCGAGAAATCCCTGTTGGACTCCAAGTTTTGCAAAGGCAAGGACCGGGGGCCAGGAACAGCAATAAGGGGCCTCCCCTGGCAGCAGGCATGATACTCCTACCCAAACACACAGGACAGCTGGAGCCCTCAGACCTAAGACGCTGGTGAAGTCAGCCCCCACCGGGCTCCGGGCCACACCCCCCTCCCCTGCTCACCCTGCGTAAGGCCTGGCTAGTAAGGCCCTGCTCTGCCTCCTCCAGGCACCCCCACCTTTCCACCATTTGACAGTCAAAGCGACCCTAAATCCAACCATATCCTTCCTTGCTTGAAACCCTTCCACAGCTCCCCTCTGCCCTTGGCCAAAGTCAAGCTCCTCAGTTTAGCAGTTAAGGCCTTTTAGGACCCAGTCTCTGCTGCCCTTCATTCCGGCTGCCTGCTGCTCCCTCAGCCTGCACAACGCCCACCACTGCTCAGGCCCTCCCCATAGCCCTCAGCCAGGCCTCCTAAAGGCCTCTCCTCGGCCCTGGCCTTCTCCTGGGGCTCCTGGCTTCTGCTCCCGACCCCCAGCTCCACCTGAACCTGACCCTGTCGCTTCCTGTTCAAAAGCCTTGCACGGCTCCCCAATGTGCACAGACTCAGAGCAAAGTCCTTCCTACGCAGAGGAGGCCCTGCGTGGGCGACACAAATGCCTCTCGAGGAAAAGGAATGACCAGGAGGGTGCTTAAAGCACCTCTCTAGCCTCCCGGCCCCCCACCCGGCTCTCCACGCCGGGCATCTGTCGCTCAGGCCCTTCACCCTGGCCTGCATCCTCTGTACCTTCTGTGCATTCTTCTCCCTCCTCCTGGAGGTCTCAGTGCACCAGTGCTGCTCCAGGAAGCCCTCCCGATCTCAGGGTCTCAGGCTGCACCTCCCCGGGTAGCTCTCTCCACACCAGTGTTAATTTAGTGGGCCGGTATGGCCCTGGTCCTGCTGAGCACAAGGAGCCGACAGGCTCAAGGCTCCCCAGCCTAGGACAGGGCGCAGCCACAGAAATGCTTGTACTTTACCACACTGACAATCTTCTCTGAGTGTCCTGAGCAGAAGAGACCCTGGTGTGTCTTATGAAGCTCATATTCTGGCAGGGAAGGCAGAACCACACAAGCACGTACAGGCCATCAGGTGGTTGAGAGGCACTGTCATGGTAAATAAGGGGAAAGACTGGTAGGGAATGTGGCGTAGGGGTCGGGAGGTGAGCAGACACCCAGAGTAACCACGGGGAATGAGTGGTACAGAAGCACAGGGAAAAGAACTTCAGGCTGGGGAACAGCAAACAAAGGCCCTGAGATGGGAAGGAGTTGGGTTCTGGTGAAGCTAGTGAAGAACGTGATGGCCTCCTGAGCTGCACCAGGGAGCCAGAGCCTGACACCACACTTTCCCCTGCTACAAGTACAGTTCCAAGTACCCTCTGGAGAGCTGAAGTGGAGAACACAGAGAAGCTGGGACATACTGGCGCACGCCTGTAATCGCAGCACTCAGAAGGCTGAGGCAGGAAGACTGCTGCAAGTTTAAGCCAGCTTGGACAATATAGTGAGTTTGAGAGCAGCCTGAACTACACAGCAAGACCCGGCCTCAAAAAACCAAAGAAAAAAGGAAGAGGAAGGGCAGTCAAGGGAGAAACAGAACAGAGGCCCGGCATGCAATCTGAGGTCTCCCCTGCCCTCACTGGCCCGGCAGTATCACCTCGTGAAGCCTTGCAGCACCAGGGTTACTGGCAGCACTTAAATACCCACTGTGGGCACAGGGCTCAGCCCACTGCCTGGCAGCCAGTCAACAGCCCAGTACATGGCTACCATTATTCGAAAGCTAAGGGAAGGCACTCAGGTGTGACCGAGAGTAGTCAGGGTTCCAGAGTCCGAAAACCATGGCCAACTGGGTGGCCTTGGGCAGGACGCCGGCAGTCCCAACACCCCACCAGAGGGGCCAGGAGCGTGGACAGATGGGGACAGAGGCTCAGGGCAGGGAAGCCGTTTACCTGGGTCTCCCAGCTGAGAATGGTAGAGGCCCTGGCCGAGCTCAGCCTGCCAGAGCCACTTTTTATGGTCTCGTCTCAGCGAATGGAAAGTCAGCAGCAGCTCAGGCAAGAGCAGGGGGAGGAACTGGAAGATCCCCTGCGTCCGCCTGGATCCTGCCCTGTCCTCCCACTGAGGGTGGCGCCTCAGCCGAGGTGTCTGTGACACAGGCCTGCAGTGATGAAATACCGGGCAGTGCAGCCAAGAGGATGGCCTGCCCACTGGGGAGCTGCAGGCTGAGGACAGGGACCTGCGTCAGGAACCCTGGCAACACGTGGGGGCTGCCAGCCACCCTGCAGGCAGCACCGCGGGCAGCAGGCAGCCCCTGTGTGGCCCCATCCCCACTCGCTGCTCCCTAGGGTGCCGGGCCTGTGTGTGCTGAGGGCCTGGGCTACAGCTACAGCTGCTGACCAGACACGAGCCACCTGGGAGGCCAGGTGAAAAGAACAACCGCAACTCACAGGACACCCAAATGATTAAGGACACATGTAATCTCACTCGTTTTAGGGAAATGCAGATTAGAACCACCTGCTTAGTATACCTACGATTAAAAAAAAAGGGCTGGCAAGGCTGTGGAGATAACAGAACCCCTATTCGGTACTGGCAAGAGTGTAAGATAGCTCAACCACTGTGGAAAACTGGCAGTAAGAATTATAATTCATTTGATGCCTACCCTCGTCCCAGCAATTCTAGTCCCCTAGAAGAAACCAGCACGTTTCCCAAAAGACACACACGAGAAGGTTCACAGGAACAATACTGACAGTGATCCCCAAACTGGTCACAGACCTGCAGCCCATCCACAGGAGAATGGGAGAAGCAGCTGGCGCGCCCACACGGGGAATGCAGCGCAGCATGAGGCAGGACCGGGCGGCTCAGACACACCACAGCAGGGAGCAGGAGACCACCGGGAGAGGACCCGACATGCACTCACACAGAGACCAAAGCGGGGCAGAGAGCGCACTCTGCTTAGGGAGGCTTCTCTCGCTTATCAAGCGACACAGAAAAATCAAGGCAAACAAGTATCACAAAGCAGGACGGCTATGTTTGAGAGTAACACAGGGAGGATTTCTGGGAACGGACAGTGTTTGGTTAAGGTCACAATTACTGGTTCCGTGCACCGCAGAAAGTATCTTTATTGTATTTTCTGGTATCTTACAAGAGAAGTAACTATACAGAAGAACCCGTGTTTGGGAGTTCAGATGACTTGGAGGATCCCAAATTGGGCCTCTACATTCCCAAAGCAGGCCTCTCCCACCTACCCAGCAAGGCTGCCTACTGCAAGTGGCACCCTCCTCCCCGGCACGCGGGGGAGAGGACTGCAGAGGCCAGGGAATCTGAGTTTCCGCCCTGGGCTCTGCTGTCTCTCGGCCATGTGGCCACAGGACATCCCTGGGGCTCCTTCCTGTACACTGACCCCACTGGGGAAGCGGCTTGCCCTAGGAGGGAGCTGGGTGGCGGCTTCCAAGACCCACTGACAATCAGCGATCAGCTGGGGGGGCATGAGAAGGGTCCTCAAGGAGGCTCTACTGCACTGGTGAAGGGTTTTTTGGCTTTCTTTCTTTCTTTTTTTAAGTTTTTTGAGACAGAGTCTCATTGTGTAGACCAGGCTGGTCTTGAACTAACTATGTAGGCCTCGAACTCACAGCAACCTTCCTGCCTCAGCCTTCCAAGTGCTGGGATCACAGGCATGCGTCATCGCACCCGCCTTATGGTGAGGTATTTTTAAATAGCTGCTAAGTACATGAATATCACTGACTAACCTATCCTAATGTCTCAAATGCTCTATAGTACACCACTAAATTTTATTTGTGACATTTGTATTTCCATTTGTCTGGCTCATGGGATTTCTCAATGGTTTCCAAATTGAACCACCCTTCCTCCAGAGCTGTGTCTCACAGCCAGGGCTCAGTCCCCAAGAGGCAATTTCCACGACGCTGCAGGACCTGAACTGGCAGCTCCAGGGCGGAGGGGAACAGGGGGCCCTCAAATGAGCACCTGCCCTAGCTGGGCATCCTGGGGAAGGAACTGTGTTCATCTGTCTTACAAGAGTCACTGTGGTTCCTGCCACTTACAGGGGCTGTGAGGCCCAGCTGGGTCCTAATGCTTGGTCCACACCCTCCTCCAGGCTGGGGTCTGCGACCACAAAATCAGACCTTCCCTCCGCTGTCCAAATGGTCCTGTGCCCCATCAGCCAGGACAGAAGCCACAGTCCTGACAGGAGCCCAAGGACCCTATGAATCTTCACCATCTCCCCTTCACTTCCCCAAAGGCCCTGCAGCCTAGTGGCATCTGCATGTGCTGCTCCCGTGGCGGGGCTGGGGGTGGGGAGTGTCTCATGGTACTTTCTCCGAGCAGCCTTCTCAGTCTCCCACTGTACCCCCTTTACCCCTTCTTCTTCTCCATAAGGCTTATCACCACGGACAGTACTGTATACGTTCACTTGTTTACTGCCTATCTCTGCCCTACAGGGTCAGCATGGTGAAGGCACAGACTCTTGCCTATTCTGATCACTGCTGGATCCCCAGAAATTTCAGGATCCCCAGAAATTAAATGGCCATATCATGGGCACTTAATAAAAATCTGTGGAAAGCTGGGTGTGGTGGTGCATATCTGTAATCCCAGCACCCTGGGAGGCTGAGACAGAAAAATCACAAGTTCAACTGCAGCCTGGGCAACTTGGCAAGACTCTATCTCAAAATTTTATTTATTTTTTTGTTTTGTTTTTTTTTTTTTTTTGGTTTTTCTCCGGTACCGGGAACCGAACTCACGACGTTGCGCTTGCCAGGCAGGCGCTTTGCCGCTGAGCTAAATCCCCAGCCCCTCTATCTCAAAATTTTAAAAATGAAAAAAAAATTTTTTTTCCTGGCTTTTGTTTTTGCAAGATAAGAGTCTCCCTATGTAGTTTGAGCTGGCCTTGAACTCACTAGAAAGTGCAGGCTGGTCTTGCACTCACAGCAATGGCCCTGCCTCAGCCTCCCAAGTACTTTGTGCTACCATGCACCACCATGCAGGTTTAAAAAAGACTGGGGGTGTAGCTCAGTGCTAAGCCCCTAGGTTCAGACCCCACTACCACACACACAAAAAAAGAAATCTGTGAAATAAATGAGCACGTGTGAGTGAATCCCTGTGCCCAGCAACTGCTCAAAATGAGCTTGACCCTGTCCCTGCCTCCCGCTCAGTCGCCCCCTCTCACTGACCCGGATTCGATGCCAGACCGCACAGATGGGCTCAGGCAGGCAGCAGGAAGCAGACCTGCACCTTCTGGAGCTGACGCCAGCGGGCTGGGGCTCCTTCCTGGTACCGCTGGGCCTCGCCAAAGCAGCACAGGGGTCCCACCAGAGCGGTCGCCTCCCTTTGGGCTTGGCCCTGCCACAGCTCCCCAAGGAGGGTCTGCTCAGGAGGTACATTCAAAGGCAGAAACCTGGCACTGTCACGTGGCACCTGCTTATGGGGATTGAGGGGAGCTGGAAAGCAGAGGGAAGCAACGTCCCCACTGGTCACTGGCCACTCACTACCCTATAAAGGGGTCCAAGCTTCGTGTGGGCAGTTCGGCAAAACTGACGAAACAGAAAATATACACGTGCTTGGAGAGCTGGACCAGAGTTCTAAGGCAGGATTTCAACCTCGGCCTCAGAGACATCTGAGGCCGATTAACTCCTGCTGTGTGGGGGGCTGTGCTGTGCCCCACAGGAGGCTCAGCAGCACCCCAGGCCCCTTCTAAGCCAATGGCACACCCTCCCCGCTGTGGCCATCAAAAATGTCTCCAGACATTACCAAATGTCACTTGAGGGGGCAAAGCCACCCCCAGCTGGGCTCAACTGCTCTATAGGTATCACTGCTGCGGTAGGAAGTACCTGGAAACAACCTACATGCTCCCAACAGGCGCCTGGTGCTTCGGTGACCGTCCCTATGATGCGCTAGCAGAGCAGCCAGGCGGCACCACCGTGCGTCAAGCCCACTTGGTGCTCCACACCTAAAGCCTGCCCGCGTGGAGACTCACTGCGGTACACATCCTCCTCTCTGTATAAAGCAGCAGAGGCACACAGGTGAAACGACTGGCCCCTACCACCCGACAGAAAGCGCGGAGCAGAGACACAACCCCTAATGGCCTGGCTTCATCAGCACACTGCACCTCACAGCCTTTACAGTTAGGGAGACTGGACTCTGGTCCCCGCTCCCTGATTTTCAGTATTCTCAAGCGTCCGTGTCCTGTGCAAGAGGGACAATGGCTATACTTCCACAAGCTCGGGAGGGGAGGATGCACCAGAGCTCCCAGCCTGAGCGGATCCGGCCACTCAGCACCACTCACTGTAGCTGTCCTGAGCACTGGTGACAAAGGTGCCCGACAGAACTTATAGTGCAGGGGCCGGGGATATGGCTCAGCGGCACAAGCGCCTCCCTGGCAAGCCTAAGGTCCTGGGTTCAATTCCCAGTACCAAAAAAAAAAAAAAAAAAAGAATCTCAGGCAAAAAGACAAAAAAAAAAAAAAAAAAAAGAAAGAAAAGAAAAAGAAAAACAAATGGCCAGGCGTGGTGCCTCATGCCTGTAATCCAGAACTCCAGAGGCTGAGGCAGGGGGCTCTTTGCAAGTTCAACACCAGCCTGGGCTACAATGTGAGCTCCAGGCCAGCCTGAACTGCATAATGAGACCCTGCCTCAAAAAGACAAAAAAATAAAGAACTTATAGTGTGACTGCTTTCCTAAGACACAAACACATGGACACATCAACTCAGTTCTACCATGTGCTTACTTTTTTCACACTGACACTGCTGAATCGCTACTCAGCCCAAGCCTTGTGCATAAAATTTACCTGCAGCACCCTTTTGGAAAAGTTAGTTACAGGATCAATAAGGGGCCTTATGGGGCAGTGTCCTAGACCTCAGGCCACAAGGAGGATCACAGGGCATTTAAATATCACATGCACAGAGAAACAAATCCGGAGGAAATGTGCTAACAGAGGCTGAATCCTGAGTGTCAGCGTCACGGTGGCCTCGGGAACCAAACATCTGACGTCCAGCCTCAGCCCTGCCACTCACTGTGGGCCCTGGGCAAGTCAGCGTCCCTCTCTCCTCATCCACACAGGACAGATGACATGAGCACAGACC